GTTTTCAACATAGGAAATGTAGCAAATAGCTTAGTTGACGGGGAAAATGCCTGGGACAAAGTTACAATAATTATAAGACATATTATGGAAAATAAAGAGAAGGAGTCCCAGATGATGCAAAGTCTGATAGTAGAAGATTAAGGACAACGGCCGGATTGAAGAAATGCGAAAGCGGATTACAATGCAGTTCTGTGGCAGGGTAGAGGAGGGTTTTTTTAGCCTTTAGGAATCCGGCACTACCCTTTCGGGGTGTCTTATGGAAGATATTTTCCCTCCTCGACAAAAAAAAATGTAGAATATAGAATGTATAGGAGGGGTATAATAAGATAATCACCGCGACCTTACAGATCTATTGTGCCCCCCTTTCTTGAGTTATTACTCATCGTACAGTTTCAACTCTCAGGGCTTTGACAAAAGAGAGACGGTTATACAGAAATTAATTCTCCATCTTCTATATCAGTCGTCCCAAACTTCATGGCACGAATGGTTGTCGTCTCGGCGCACTCAGGGATGAGGTGTTCTGGTGTCTTATAATCGTACAGAAAGTTTGAAACTTTTTGGTTTTACTTTACTAAATAATTATTTTTTCAGGTAGTAATATTGTTAAATTTGAAGTTCAACTTGATATAATGTCATTTTAACTTAACGTCAACGGTTTTTATAGACCTACGTGTTTGAAAAGAACTAAAGTGTTCTCGAATAGTTGCTTTTAGATATTATGTATAGTTTTTTTCTTTGTTCTTTCTGTTTTTATTTATTCAAACGACGGGAAGAGATATACTTCCCGAAACGTTAAGTTTTTTTTGTCTGTTACGCAAATTTGTTTATTAGTAAACCACTGCTGACAATTAGTCTCCGCTGAATTAACGCAGCAGTGTTTACAAAAAATAACTATTTTATTTTGTAGATTTTCTTATAGCGGCGAAATAACCACAGGAGTTTTTTGAAAAGGTTTGTAGGTTTATATTATCTTACTAGTTCCAGTAAATACCATAAAAAGAACTTCAAAAATAATAGTAATCATAGACTTATAGAATTCCAGGATTGGGGGAAGAAGGGCTTAAACTCCTAAATAGGTCTCTTTCGTACGCCACTGAAACGAACTAATACGGAAATTAATTGAAGTAACATTTGTTTATTGTGTTGTTTTCACTAAGAGCAAGTGAATTGGTGCGACTCATTGACAGTTCGAATGACATAGAAAATAAAATAAACAAACGCCGCTTGTACCAACACGGTAATGTTGACCTGTGGGTATAAGTAAGATGTCTCAGAAACGCCATTGAAAGTCAATTAGTTGCGGAGAAAAAGTAAAATCGGCCGATCCCTAAACCAATCCTCAAGAAAGTATGTTGCGATTGTCGAATGAAATAAATTGGCGAATTTCATTTCTAGGAAATTACAAACGCAAAGCCAATTAAATATACGCGTGTGATAAGAAGTGGAATACGAATGCGAAAGCAATTTTACTAAAATATAACCGGTCTCTGCCGGACGGTGGTCAAGGTTAATATTAATAAGAGTAATTATAGAAGTCGACGTAAACTAATAAGAAACATATTATTTAGGAAAAATTGTAAATACAAGGTCCGGCAATAGTGCGTCGGGCATCTGTAGCTCCTAGAATAAAAAATTTGGAAATTTTGTTTAAGTGCAAACCTAAAGTATGTACTGGGATGATTTCAGGAAAATATTTTAATTTCTACAGAGTGGATTAACATATGTTTACATATGGAACAGTTGCTTGGTACACAAAACTAGAGCAACGTACAGCAAGGCAAAACCTGTGCAAAATACAGAGACTGGCATGTATCTGTATCACAGGTGCCATGAGAACATGTCCAACAGCAGCAATGGAGATCATTTTAGACCTAACACCACCGCATATTGTCGTCGGTAGTTATGCCAATACGACAATGATTAGAATGGTCATAGACGGAAACAGTACTGGGAGAATTTTTAGGTCAGGGGCTTGGAACACCCTCAAAAAGAAAATTCCACTTCTCCAACTCCCAGTGGATGACATACCAAGAATTTACAACTTTGAGAAACACCTCACTGTAGTATTGAGTAATAAAATGATTGGAAGGAAGAAACGGTTACTCAGCATATAAAAGACCATACCATAACGTGGTATACTGATGCTTCCAAAACCAAAGCAGGGACAGGGATAGGAGTATTTGGGCCGAAAACCAAATACTCCGAACCAATGGGCACCTACCCCAGTATCCTTCAGGCAGAAATTTACGCTATCGAAAGATGTGTACAATTTATCTTAGATAAGGAACTATCGAAAACAGGAAATTGCCATCCTATCCGACAGTCAAGCAGCACTAAACGCGATCAACTCAGTAACCATCAATTCGAAGTTGGTCAAAGAATGCCTAGAGAAGCTCAACAAGTTGGGCAAAGAAAATAAAGTCCTCCTACTCTGGGTGCCTGCTCACCAAGGGATAGAAGGCAATGAAAAAGCAAATGATCTAGCTAGGAAAAGAGCGAACACTCCACTAACTGGACGAGAACCGTTCTGTTTTCCAAGCGGAAACCAACTGAAAGCGGAACTGAAGAATCTGGAAGACTCCAACCGCAACTTGGAATGGGTATCCTCCAACGGTCTAAGACACTCGAAAAAGTTCCTCAGAACCTACGACCGAGAAAATCAAAGGCTTTCCTTGATTTAAGTAAAACAATCTTCGGATTGTCACGGGGTTTCTAACAGGACACTGTCTCCTCAACGAACATCTCAGTAGGCTGAAGCTGAGAAACAACGGCGAATGCAGATTCTGTGGGGAATATGGGGAAACACCAGAACACCTCATCACTGAGTGCGCCGAGACGACGACCATTCGTGCCATGAACTTTGGTACGGCTGATGTCAAGGATGGAGAGCTGGCCTCTATGGGGCCGTCTCAGATACTGGCCTTTGTTAAAGCCTTGAGACTGTATGATGAGTTATAACTCGTTATAGCTCAAGAAAGGGGAAGCTGCCTGAAGAAGGCGACAATAAAGTCGCGAAACGTCGCAGAAACATTGTTTCCTTTCGAGCCTATCCAAACACCCACGATTTTTTTCTTTCTGCGTACACCGTATATTATTGCATTCTTGGCTTCCTTTCAGATCACTTTATTGACATTATTGACTTTTAAAAAATTTGAAAGTGTCAAATTATCTAAATTTCTACCCTCTTCCATTTCCCTCACCCATTTCCCTCACTTGGTTTTTTTTAATTTCTCGCCTCATTTAATTAAGCAAAATATTCTTGTAATATCTTTATTAAATACTTATCTAACATCAACAAAAATAAACAAGAAGATTAACTAACAATAATAATTGAAGATTTTAATACATTTATTTGTTGAAATTAATGGTAAAATTTGACTTATTGTACGCGTTAATCGATTTTGTTAAGGTGCAGCCCTGATAATGTGTTTCACTCATGTGAAGTTTAACTGCTGCAAAAACTTAACTCCTGACTTGTGCCAGGTCTTCTAATGTCACCGAAAGAAGGTAAAGAGTTTGGATTGGTACAGGAAGACGATGGCAACGATGTCGTTGAAGATATCATATTTGCGGTTTTAGTTTGGTTTGCTACAGATGCATCCACATAACCCTCAGCCACAGCACTGGATCTAGACGCTTCAGCTGTAAAATATCACCTCCTCAAATATTCGTCTAAAAGCATGACCTGTGTAGGTTTTCGCATTGGGAAGTTTCAAAAAGCTAGCAATTTTGTACGGAAATTTAGATATAGAATTGTAGCCAAAGGGTTGATTTCGAGCTTTTCCTAATCGATATTGAACAAAAAATCTCTCATTTTCAATATTTTTTGGTAACTGTATAAATTCTTTCACAATTTCTATCCAACTTGTGTTAGTTATCATAAATGATCTGCTCTTATAAGTTTTTGTATCGGGAATTTCTATGCAAATGTTGTTTTCTAAAATATCAATATGCGTAGTTTTCATCTTCAGTAGCTCATCACTTCGACCTTCGACATGCCCCAGACACACTTACTATAAGCGCAACCTAAAACAATGAAAAGGAATATTTAAAAACAGAAAAAGCAAACATTTAAAAAAAACTTACTTTAATAGGAAGGATTTTTTGAGGTGCTTTCGTGAGAAAATCCTCCAAGTTTTGCCTGGTAAAAATACTAGATTTCTTTGGCTTAAAACTTACATTCTGGCGTTTTAAAAAAGCGACGAGTTTGTGATATTTTGATATATCAGTCTTTTTTCTTAATTCTAGCATTGTCCGTATCATGCTGTACGTAGCCCAAAGAGTAGATGGCTTTTTCTGCCTTGCCATGTCGCTAAAATATGCCATCAAGACTGTCTCCGAAGAATCTACTATTGTTAGCATAAGTCTAATATTCTTAGCATTTCTTTCGGCACACATTTTTCGTATACTTTCAATGTTATTTCATATCGCCCCCTACTTTCCTCTGGAAGTAAATTAGCTTCTGCTCTTTTGCAGCTTCTGTAAGTTCTGGTGGACTACCAATATTAAAGTAGCCTTCATCATCAGAACTTTCCGACAACATTCTGGCTTTCTTTGTTATATAAATTCAAAAAAGCGAAAGAGAGATTCAAAACTGTCACTTAGTTGTTTGTTTTGCTGTTGAAGGTTGAAGGTTTGCGACATAACAACCACTGGTACCGGTACCTATCGATATGTAAATGCCAAAACAGAAAACGACACATTTTCGCATACTTATTTTTTTTTCAAAATTAAATACTATCCCTATTTTTTAAATAATGATGTGGTTCTAAATAAAATAGTATACAAACCTCGGAGGAAAGTTTTTATTATTGCATCGAGATTTACTCTCGACAGTAATGAAACTCTTCCCCTCCCCGGTATGTAATATACTATTTCAGCCTTATTTATCAGGGTCAGCTGGTACTTTGATAAAACTTTAAGTTTAACTTAAAAGTTTAAAAACTAACTCTTTCTATTGTCAAAAATAATGAAAGTAATACTCTTATTTTTTGTTACAGGTGCCAGGAATAAAATGAAGTTTCCCAAGATATCCTCTTGATGTAAACCTAAAAATTTATTAAACAACCTAGCTACCTATTGTGATTCAATAAATACATACAAAAAAATGTAAATATCTGGTTAGTGAGTGTTATCTCTGAAGAAAATGGCTCTTAAGTTAAGGAAGGATATCAAAAAGTCGTCGTACTATGTTTGGTTTCTTGGAGCGAAGGAATCAAAAGGACTAAGAGGATCCGAGTACATTATACCGGTTGTCAAACATTTAGAAGAGAGAGAAAAAGACGTGGAACCTTTCAAAGTTACTCTGCAAGTAAGTAACATTCAAATTATCTATATATGTTTTACCTAATTTATTATTAAATATTATTACTATTAGTTATTATTACTATTAGTACAACCTTCAGCAGTTTCAAATAACAAATAATGGTATTTTAGATAATTACAAAAAACCTAATTTTAAAAAGTTTTAACATCCTGTAACTCTGAAACTATGCATTTCCATACCCATGTTTATAGGAACTTCTTTTCATAATTTATGATGAGGTATCAACAAGTACTTTTTTAAAACTTTTGCAAGTTAATGATATTTATATTAACTTTTTTTTAAAAAAGGTTTCTTCATAGAGAACTCGGACTGTTCTGACGATTAGAAATCAGTTCGAAACACCAAATTTTTGCGAGCACTTTAAACTTCATACGCATGCGTAAAACCATTGTAAACAATTTCTGACTGCTCTGTGAACGAAGCTAGTATTTTTAGTGGATGATTCTCAAAAACTGTGCAACAATTGGGAATATTATAGAGTCTTCTACAGGCTATTGCTCAAAGTCGGTATTCTAAAAATTATCTGCATTGGGGATTATTTTTATTATATTTGTATTACATGACATTCATACGAAACAACATTGTCGTAGGTTTCACACAAAGGGCTCAAAATTGTACAGAACGTGGTGTCGCAAGGTGCGAAGAACTCTAAACCGAAAAACGAGACAATTAAACACTTCATCCCCCACAATACCATCACCTACGTGTACCAACACGAGGACATCATAGCCTGCATCCTGTTATTATTCAATCCGGTGACCAAGTGTCCGCTGCACGTCCACGCTTACAGGTAAGGTTTGATATTGTATTGAGATTTATTTATTAACCATATTAAATAAGGTGTAGTTGAAGGTTATGGTAAGGTTTTCAGAATGGATCATATTTTTAAGCCTCATTCAGGACTTCGAAATTAGTGTAATAAATTAGTTAAATTATGCTTAAAAAATTACGATCATTCACCAATATCTGTAAAAAATACAATTAAAATAAATAGAATATCCTAGCAATCGCATGCTGTAGTCAGTTATAATAATTAACTTATAAAACAATAAACTTTTTAGTTATAACCACAATTTTTCCTGACAGATGATAATCAAACACAAATTTTAATTTTCAATTGTGTCATTTCTTCTGTTTGAAAAAAAAATTATACGGAAAACAACAATTGACATATACATGGCAATGACATTTAACAGTTTTAATGTTAATATTTGTATTAATTTCTATTGTCAGAATGAAATTAATTACTTTATTATACACAATGATACAGTAATTTAGGTAAAATCCACTTACAGGAAGCGTTTAAAGTGATTTAATGAAAATTATTTTTAAATGGTGTAGTTTAAAATTCGAGATTTTTTTTTATTTCCAAAAACAATTTTTTTGGAAATAGATTTGTGTGTCTGGAAGCGTTCTAATCTTTTATAAATTTTCTATAATGAGTGTTAATTTTGATACGGTTTTTGTCAACTTTTAGTAAATGACGTCTACAAATTGATATCGTCAAAATTAAGATCGATTGTCATTTCCCAGTAGTCTTTCACTCCGTTTTTTTTTAGATCATACGTTCTCATCATCTTCTGGCATAGTATCGGTTTAAATATAGTGGTTTAAAAAACTTTTTTAAATTTTTATGACACAGCTCGAAATTTTAAGTTATAGAGTTTGTTCTTTTTCACGAAGTGTTGGCCCATGGGATGGATAATGACACGTAGAAAATTAATTTTCTACGTGTATGTAGAAAGCTGGGTTGAAAATGTCGAATATGTGAATATTAAGTAGAAAATGTATAAAATCGGAGTACCTATATGTACAAAATTAATTTTGTATATTTAAAGCTGTTTTTTCCTTATACACGTTTCCTCCTATATCGGATATTTTTTTAAATTCTATAAGTATTAAAACTGCAATACGTTCGTGTGCGATATCTCTATTTTGTGTTATTTTGTCTGAAGACTGTAGCTAAAGTTTGACTCGATAGTACAAGTTTTGATTGTACTTTTTTTATGATTTTACAAAAGAACCCTGGTTTCATAAACTATCTACATAAGTAATTATTGTAGTTCGTATTTCATATTCTTAATATTATGTTAGTTATTGTGTATTTTTTTTCTTGTTTTGTTGTTTTGGTTTGTTGTTGTTCTGTTTTTTCTTATTCTGAGTTTTACTATTGAAAAGTAGTTTTTGTTAAATCTAAAACATACTAAAAAATACGATATGCCTGTGAATTATGACAGACACAACTGCCACTGTTAGATCCTCTCGTTGGACAGACCATTTATTTCAAATAATATAAAAATTCCTAGTTAAACTTTTATGACACAGTATTATCCATTTGTTAAATAATATTAATTTGTTTCTTTTATTAATCATTGTGTTAAAGTATTTAAAACAAATAGAATTGCAAAGAATGGCTTTTAATATACAAAACTAATTTTCTACATCAGGACATGTAGAAAATGTAGATAATTAGTTGGTGTAGAAAATAGGTAGAATATGTAAACTTTTCTACTTACCTGTTAAAATCAAAAACAAAGTCCAAACCACTGTCAGTGACTGTCAATGTACTGTTTGACAGTGGTTTGAACTTTATTTTTGATTTTAACATTAGGTTTTTTATCTGGGAATTTTATTTTTGTCAAGCTTTTGTTTGTATTAATCTTTGTATTAATACTTAACAACATAGTTATTAATACTTAACAACATAGTTGCTAGAATAACAGACGCTACCTTTATTTCGATCTTTAAAAATATTGCTTGCTGTTAATTTTTTCTATCAAATTTTTATAATTTTATCTAAATGTGTTAACAAATTTGTGTTTCTGGATGAAACGTTGTATTATTGCTTCGGAGATGTTAGTTTATTTTTTGTTGAACGACTAGTGATTGAATGTCAGTCCAAAGAAATTTTGTTTCCTTGTAGATTGTGTAAAAGTGAGGAAGTCAATCACCGCGAATTTATAAATCTATTGTACCCTACTTTATTGATATATAACTTAACATACAGTCTCAGGGCTTTGCTAAAAGCCAGTATCTGAGACAGTTTTACAGCGATTAGTTCTTCGATATCAGTCGTACCAAAATTTATGGCAGGAATGGTCGCTGTCTCGGTGCACTCAGTGTGATGAGGTGGTCTGATAATTCCACATTTTCCCCACAGAATCTGCATTCGCCGTTGTTTCTAAGCTTCAGTCTACTGAGGTGTTCGTTGAGGAGACAGTGTCCTGTTAGGAACACCGTGACAATTCGAAAACTGTTCTTACTTAAATCAAGGAAAATCTTTGATTCTTCTCGGTCGTAAGTTTAATTGATAAAGTCATTCCAAGATGATATTTTGTTTTCTCCCTTTATTAAACTTATTATTTTTAGATTTCTTCTTCTTCTTCATGTGTCTTCTCCTCATCGAAGGTTGGCGACCATCAATTGGAATTCCTCCCTGTCTTGAGCCAAACGGATAATTGCTCTGGTCTCTCCTATATTAAACCACTGGCGCAAATTCCGCAACCAGGAGAACCGTTTACGCCCAATGCCTCGTCGTCCTTCAGTCTTTCCCTCAACGATCAGCTGTAGGAAACTATATTTGTTATTCCTAAAAATATGACCAAAATATGCTGCTTTCCGTGGTTTGATTGTGGTAAATAGTTCTTGGTCCTTATTCATTCTTTCTAATACTTCAATATATGTTATTCGTTCGGTCCAGGATATTTTCAACATTCGTCGGTACAACCACATCTCAAATGAATCCAAGCGTGACATGGTCCGTGCCTTCAACGTCCATCCCTCGACTCCGTATAACAATGTAGACAGTACATAGCATTTGGTAGCTCGCCATCGAGTAGTCAGATTCAGGTCCCGGTTGCAGAGTAGAGTTTTCATTTTGAAAAAAGTGTTTCTGGCTATTTCAATTCTATGTTTGATTTCTTCATCAGGATCCCATTTATCATTCAGCCACCACCCCAAAGTACTTAAATCTTCTAACGCTTTCTATATTTTGGTCTTCTTCTTGTATCCTGATATTTTCAATATTTAGTTTGCTGATAATCATAAATTTTGTTTTGTTTATGTTTATCTTAAGACCATGACTCTGACTAATACTGCTAACTCTGTCCACCAGGCACTGCAAATCTTTCTCATTGCTAGCTACGAGCACCGTTAGCATCGTCAGCATATCGGATGTTATTAATAGGTTTACCATTCACCTTTATCCCCACCTCTAAATCTTCCAACGCCTCCTGGAATATCGATTCAGAGTATAAGTTAAACAGAAGTGGCGATAATATACATCCTTGCCTGAGGCCTTTAAGAATGTCTATATCCGTTGTTGACATATTTCCGATTTTTATACGAGCTGACTGATTCCCATATAAGTTTCTAATGATTCTTATGTCTTTGTCATCTAACCCAATTTGTTTGAGTAAATGTATCAGCTTGTCGTATCTCACGGTATCAAATGCCTTCTCATAATCTATGAAACATGCGAAGGCACTTGTCTGCTGATCGAGGCATTTTTGGATTAAAACCTGTTATTGAGAACAAATCATCTCTGGTTCCCAGTCCACTTCTAAAGCCGAATTGAGTTTCACTTATATTTTCGTCAATCTTTCTCCATAGTCTAGAGTGTGACACGCAAAAACACTTTTAATGTATGACACATATAAGGCTTATCAGGCGATACTCGTTGCATCTTTTGGAGTTTGCCTTTTTAGGGAGAGTTACAAATGTGGATTGCAGCCATTGTTTAGGTATCTCTTGGGTAGTGTAGATGCGAGATGCGATTTATAGACTAGGTAATCATAAAATGCACAAATCACCCATCGGCAGTAGCCTGGGAAAATACTTACCTACCTACATAATGCATTTCAATCAAGTCCGTGGTCTATCATTGCTTATTTATCAAATAATGAAAGCAAAGAGCCGCGCCCAAAGAAATGAAGGAAATAAACGGATAATTCCGCGTAGGTAGGCCATAGTCGAAACGTGCCACTTTTCGCCACCCAGAGAAAAATTGCGATTTTTTTTCGAAAATTCTGAAAGTAAAAGTGGTCTTGATGCAAAAGCCGACTCAGGTGAAGAATATTGTTTGTTGCACTTGCAATTGTGGTATTATAGAGGTTAGTTCTCCAGTATCAGTAGTACCAAAATTTATGACACGAACAGTCGTCGTCTCGGCGCACTCAGTGATGAGGTGTCCTGATAATTCTTCATTTTCCCCACAAAATCTGCATTCGCCGTTGTTACGCCAGGGCAGTTAGCACACTGCTCTGTGTAAATGCTGCTCCCAAATAGGGGAAGTTTTTGCAATCAAGTTGATTTTTTCATAGATGATAGTACTCATTAACAATACCCTGTAAAAGAAAGTTACACCTCCTAGAGCGCTTGCTTCCTCCGCCATGTTGAATTAAAGATGGCGTCTGATCCTTTTCTTTAAAAAAATCGTAACTTTCTTATTCATTAACCGATTTTCGTCAAGTAAAAATCATTACCTTTGTTTTGGACTAAAGAATGAAATAAAAATATAAAACTATTTTGACAGGTTGTTTTTCTGTCAAAAATAAAAAAAGGAAAATAATAAAAAAAATCGAATTACTTTTCTTCAATTTTTTTTGAGCCGTACTTCGTAGGAAAAAAGGTTAAAGAATATGCTTTTGTTCTGATTTTGAAACAGTCCTTGAGTTTATGATAGGTTGAGTAGTGCGGGAGATATAGTGTATAGTGTATCTTTAAAGATACAAACAAAAATAAACTTATGCAGGATGTAAAAATACTTTATTTTTTGTTCGATTGACATAAAATAAAAACAGTTGCCTTTGGTTAAACATATGAATTAAAAAAAATATTAAAAATAAATAAAAAAAAACAGAAAAAATTGTTATTCTTAATAATAGATAATAATAAAGACTGAAATTCTTTTTATTCCAACAGAAAAGTATAAATTCAACTTTTAATAGCTTTTAACTACAAATACATAATAATAACTTTTTCACATTTGTATTTACACGTCACCATCATCTATTTCCACTTCTTCATAATCGACTCTGGGTGCATTTAGACAGGCTTTTCCGATTATAAGAAGCACAAACACAGTTTGCTGTGCAAAAATCTTTGCATTTGCAAAAAAAATTTGCCATTAGGTATTCGGGTCCTGGATGTTTGGTGTAAGTCACTGCGAAAAGCTCATTGCCACTGGCAAACCACCCCCACTCAAGTGGATCTAACTCGTTTCCTCTCCAGCTTTGTACCTGTAATATACTCTAAAAAGGTGTTGATTACTGGAGTCTTCTGTGGGAGGAAGATTTGCCAAATCAAAATTAGATCCCAAACCTTGTGTTCTCAAAGTTCAATTTTGGCCTCATTTTTTTTTTGGAAATTTTCCTTTTTTGTCCTTTTTTTAAAATATCTCCCATATCCTTCATTGGTCTGTACAGTTCGTCTGCTGGATCTGTGTCTATGAAAGGAATGCGGACAAAAAACATTTAAATAAACAACAATGAACAACAATATATTTTATACGTCGACTTGACGAGTACGTCACCGCAAATCGCTCCGCCCACTCATTTTATTGGCTACTTGCAAATTTGTCGAATTTTTATTGATGGGGCGCGTCGTCTAATTTTTTACGAAAAACATGGAGAGAATATCGTTTCCCCTCTCACGGATACCCCGTAGCTACAGAACGGACAGACGTACTGTAATTAGTTATACATTGTTGGATAGAGCATAGGTGGTGCTCATTAACGAGAATTTTTTTACTTCTTTAGTACAGAGTGTTGTAGAAATCGATCAAGTCAAAAATTTGCAAAATCAAAAAATCCTAAAAATCTCGAAAATGATAAATTGTAAAATGATGGTTGATGTGTGGATAGAGCTTGTGGAGCCCTATAATTGCCTCATTTAAACTGTGAATGAACCCATCTAAAACGAATAGTTTTTGAGATATTTCTTTCTATTTTCCTTTGAAAAAAAATCGATTTTTGAATGTTTCAATTTTTTGTACTTTTTTCACCTGAAACGTGTAAAGTGCGTTAAAATATGAATATTAACAACATTTTTATCTTTTGTTTTGCATTATCATACACCTATTTTAAAAAATTCCCTAAAATTAAAAAATCGATTTTTGTTTTTTTTTCTCGCCCTGTATACGACTTTTTGACAAACTTTGTTATAAAAATAGCTTCTATTCCTCCTTAATATGGAGTTTGTTTGAGGTAAATCGGTTAAAAAATAAGAAAGTTACAGTATTCAAAAAAATATTGTGTCGGCTATCTTTAATTCAACATGGCGGAAAAAGCAAGCCTCCTAGAAGGTATAACTTTTTTTTACAGAGTACTATTGATGGGTACTATCATCTGTGAAAAAATTAGCTTGATTGCAAAAACTTCCCCTAAAGGCTGTAGCGTTTTTTTTAAACCACTACCACTGCGAACGGCAGCTTTTCATCGGAGAGCAGTCGTGGATAAGGTATTTCACTGGAAAGAAAACTAATTAATAACAATAAACAAAAAAATAGATATTGGGCGCCAGGCATGTACAGAGAAAGAAAACACAGTTGTATATTACTTAAAACTAATGACTATATTCATTCATGATGTTCGTTTGTTTTCTCTCTTTATTATGCTTATTATTTTTTAGACTAGGTAATCATAAAATACACAAATCACCCATCGTAGAGTTCTAGTGAATATGTAGTGGTTATATGTCAAAGAAAGTGGTGGTAAGAGTTGTACTAAATATCTATGAAAACAACTATGATAAAATACAAGACATGTAAAGTTTAAGAGAATATATGAAATGTAGCATTACTTTAATTAATTTGATATATTTTATATGATGTTAGTGCAATAATAATATCTATAAAAAAGTAATACTATTACAAGACATAATGCAATGAAACCTAAGATCTAAATTATATTTTAACTACTAAATCGACATGAATGTTCTTAACAATCTAACCACTCAACATAGTCTATACGATATTATTTAAGATGTACGTTATTGTTTAAGACTGTAAATGTTTTGAATGTTAAATGCAAAACTATAACTTAAATCTACACTTAGCTGTTCTTTATGCAATCCTGCTTTAAACAGTAACAGCGTGAGGTGGTCTCGCATCTCTGTACTCAGCCATCCAACACAACCAAAGGGGCCAGAATGAGGACACCATGACTTGATACACCCGTAACTAACTAGCTTATAGCTGGGAACGAAGCAGCATGGGACTCAAGCTACATCCACGCTGTGGCACTTATATGTAGGAAAAAAATCATTCTAACTGGGGACACTCGTCCACAGGACATCTGTACATAAGATAATGTCTGTACATAAGACACTATCCGTACCTTGAAATAGTCCCGTACTTTGGACCCTAAAAGTATGAAACTCTTGTTTAAAAACCAAACAAAGGTCTAATAAACAAAATAAACCTACCTCGAAATCTCTTCCGAGGGCTCAATAAATAATAAACAACATGTCCTTTCTTCCATGTGACATTCTGGAGGACAAAAGAAAAGGACGCCAACGTGCCAGCAAAACACAAATACAAGTTGGGACATCCGTAACTCTACCCTAAAATATTCAATAATAATATCGGAATCTATAAAAATAATATTTCATCTTTACCTGTTGCTTTGAAATAGCAGCTGATCCAGATTATACAGCAAGATTTAAATAATCACCATTTCTAAAAACCTAAAATTAAAAAAAGAATCGATTTTTATTTTTTTCTCGCCCTCTATACCACTTTTGACAAACTTTGTTATAAAAATAAGCTTCTATTCCTCCTTAATATGGAGTTTGTTTGAGAGAGTAAATCAGTTAAAAAATAAGAAAGTTACGCGTATCCAAAGAATATTGTGTCAGGGTTGTCTCGAAATTCAACATGGCGGAAAAAGGGAACGTAAAAATTACGCCTCAAAGGTGTAACTTTTTTTACGAGAGTACTATTGATGGGACACTATCATCTGTGAAAAGAATGTAGCGATTGCAAAAAACTTCCCCTAAAGGCCATTATTTCACCTAACTGCCCTGGCCTATGTTTCTTAGCTTCAATCTACTGAAGTGTTCATTGCGGAGACAGTGTCCTGTTAAAAATCCCGTGACAATCCGAAAAGCGTTCTTACTTAAATCAAGGAAAATATTTGATTCTTCTCGGTCGTAAGTTTAATTGATAAAGTGATTCCAAGAAGATATTTTGTTTTCTCCCTTTATTATGCTTATTATTTTTAGACTAGGTAATCATAAAATACACAAATCACCCATCGGCCTGGGAAAATACTTACCTACATAAAGCATTTCAATCAAGTCCGAGGTCTATCATTGCGTATTTATCAAATAATGAAAGCAAAGAGCCGCGCCCAAAGAAATGAAAAACGGATAATTCCGCGAAGTAGGCTATCGTCGAAACGTGCCACTTTTCTTTTGGAGAAAAATTGCCATTTTTTCGAAAATTCTGAAAGTAAAAGTCGACTGGTCTCGATGCAAAAGCCGATTCAGGTGAAGAATATTGTTTGTTGCACTTGCAATTGAGATATTATCGATTTGCAATAATAATTCTCAAAGGCGGAATCGTGATATGTTAATGGTGGTACCGGAATCACCTGTACGTGTAATAATAAAATGTATTTTATTGGAATAAATATTTCTCCCACAGAATTCTTGGGAAAAGAGAGTTATGGATTATTACCAGTATTACCACCTTTTTAGGATTACATTTTTAGGATTAAATTTTTATGGAAACTAAAAGAATTTCGAACTTCCATTGCTTTTATTTATTTTTTACTTACGTTATCAAATATTTTCCATTAAAAATATCAAGGTATTTTAAGAATTAGTGATGAGGGAGACTGGTCTTGGTCTTGCACAAAAATCAAGACCATTGTGTGGAACCTGCAAGACTAAAACCAAGAGCAAACTATTCCATTCACTCATCACTATTAAGATTTATCTTAATGAAGGTGATCTCTTCTTTACAGATGTGATTCATTAGAAACAGCATCCCACTTGAAGCAACAGCTTCAGATCTTGATAGAAAGGCCGGAAAATCAGAAGAAGATTGCCGAAATAGAAAATAGACTAAAGCCTGTTGAGAAAACTAAGAAATTGGAAAGTAGTATAGGTAGTGATACAGGAACTTCAACCAGAGAATCAGAAAGCAGTGAAGAAAGGTTAGTAGTCTGATATTTATATGTTTATTAAGTTAACTTAATCTCTGACTTCCTTTCATTATTATATACTAGGAAAAAACCTACCTTTAGTTTATATTAAATCTTCTTTTGGTTTTAATCTATATGAGAAGTTAAAGAAAAAAAACTAGATTATCGGGCTTGATTTGAAAACACTGTTGATTAGCTATTTCATTTCTTTAGGTATGCTCTGGAAAACTCTAGAATATCGACTCTATACGATTCAGTAGCGGCTGAGTTGAGGGAAAAACTGGGTAAAAAGAATTCGCCGATATTGTTACCTCCTAGAGACTACGACACTGTACATAGACAAAAAGGCAATCTGACAGGTATACATGCCTTTTTATTGTAAACTTTTTATTTATCACTCTGGGCGAATGTTTTGCAAATTATATTAGCATCATCATCAAACTAACTTTAGTGTTCAATTACATATGTCACTTTTAATGGCCATCTTGGAGGAGTCATTCAAAGTGATAGCTGTAGGTAGGTTGTTTCTAATTTTTGTTTCATTCTAACTGTACATCAAACTACCAGAAAATATGTAAACAAAGATGATTAAACTCGATTATTTCACTCTGATTGATTCACTTTAAATCTATAAGCGATACCAAATAAACTTTTAGTTATGTCATCGAGGGCGCGATTATTAAATTCATTGTTGCCAACCATGGACATATTCGGCGCCGGGCTGACTAACTGGAATTTAAATTTTCCGCTGGGAATTCTGGTGAAAGCTCTGCTGTAAAAAATATCAAGTTGCCACATTTATTTATTTCTTCCCTGACATTTTGATTCGTTTTGACACTTTAGTTTTGTATTACGAGTTTTTAGTTCAAGTGAATTGTGTTGTGATACTTTAAGCTTAACATTTTTTACTAGCAAACCTTGCAGTTGAAAATAATCCTTTTTAAAACCGCTCGTAGTGCGAGGTGTACAAGATGCCGAAGCAGCTTAACAGTCGTTGCAAAAAACTCATTGTAACCTTATTAGAATATTTTGAAGGGAAAAGCGGTAACAATGGCCTTTTATGTCCCTTATGTGCTGTGAAGGAAGTGAATTTTGTTTTTTTCCCAAAATATTTTGATTAAAAGAAAATGAATTAAAGTGGGCAACGCTGTGCCGGTCAAGTTTAATCACGTGATCTATACATCAAAAGTTATATAATGTAAACACCGCTTAAGTGAAAATATTTTGTGTCCAGAGTGATTAAAATATATGTGTTTTGTAGTATTGCTTGTTAAAGTTTGATCATTTGTATATGATAATTTTAATGTTTCCGAACTGTATTTTCATATTTTACTACAAATTTTCAGGAATCGAGTTAAGGAGATGTTTGAACGCGAACATCGTAGGACAAAATGTGAAAAATAAAAGGCTAGAATCATCAGGAGGCAGTTCGGGGATTGGTTCGGATCATCCCCCAAGTCCAGAGAGTCCAGACACTCCAGATTCCAGGTTTCACACACTGGAAACCCACCACAGTACTAGCGGTAAGTTTATTTTTTTATTAGGTGTGGAAATTTTGTTGTGTTTGATGGGTTTTTCAATTTTAATGCTAGATTCATCTAGATTATGAAATTATTCGTAAAAACTTTTGTGAAATAAGCTAACGAGCCACCCTTGTTCCATTTGAAAAAAATTAAGATGATTAAAAATACGATTTCGACATCTTTTAACCGGCCAGACTAATCTATTTTTCTAAGGCTCCTTGATTAAAAATTGGTGTTATTAACACTGCCACGGCACTCTAGAGTAAAATTTAAAATATGTATTTTTTAAACCGAAATTTCAAAAGTTCATATATGATATGTGATTCTATTCAGAGTGTCATTTTCCATCGACTAAAGTAGAAATATACCGAAAGTGTGGTTTAAAAATCAAAAGTTGTAGTCATTTCCAGTGAAACAGGAAGTGGCCAAAAACAATTGAATATGTCAATTTATGTCATATATACTAACATAAAAAATCTCGGTTTTTTATTTGAAAATATAAAAAGTTATAGGGGTGAGCCACTTTCCAGATGTACTCGGTATATATTCTTTAAAATGCATACCATTAATATAGCTTATTCATTAAATACACAAAGTGCTCAAAGAAGAATGAAGTAAATAAACTTAATTAACGTTTTTAATTATAAAAACTAAAAAAATTATGCATTACAAAAGTATTCATTTAATTATTACTAATTAATGTAAATAATTGTTCATCGGCGAAATAAAAGTAAAAGTGTGCTGTTCCAAAAATCCAAATGTAATAAGTGAATGGTTTCATTTATAAAAATATGCTGTTCGTATATAAATATTAATGAAATTATATTACAAGAAAGAGAATTTAATTTTATCAGAAAATTGCACTCCGTGAAAATTGTGTGTTTAGTTGTTTAATTATTTACACGTAGTTGTGAAAATTACCAATATATGAGTTAACTATTGGCAGGGTAATATGCCTTTCTTTAATCACATATACAGGGTGGTTCGAACTGTACTCCGGGAACTTTGGAAATATATTCTGCAGATGAAAATAAGTAAAAAAGTTCTTATGTATGTCCTAAAATGCTTAGTTTCGGAGATACAGGGTGTAGAAGTTTCATTTTTATTTTTATTTTTTTCAAATAATTTCTTAAGTAACGTCAATATTTGGATGAAAAAAAGTTTTTTTTGACATGAGAAATTTGATTTTGACGTCAATATGACTTCTACTTGTAGAGGGCACCACCTACATACTTTTTAACTGGTTTGAAGAGTAATAACTTTTTGTCCGTACCTGTATAAAACTACTGAGTAAAAAATATACATTTACGACGTTTTTTACTTACAAAAGGTTACTTGGCCAAAATCGTTACGAGTAATGGTTCTCGAGATATTTGGAATCGAAATTATCAATACCTGTCATCTCTCTCTCTCTCTATCTTTATTCCTACAAGAGGAATGTAGTGGTCAGGTGATGTGTGAGGTTTGTCTCCATAATTCCCTGTCTTGTGCTTCATGTACAAGCGTGTGCAGTGGCTTGTGGGTGATCTTTGATAGCTGGTCTATCCATCGGGAGGGCGAGCGGCCTCTTGGTCTTCTTCCCGGAACCTTGCCCTGTATAATGAGCTTTTCCATACAGTCAGTATCCCTCCTCATAACGTGACCGAAATATTTAAGCATACGTGACTGTATAGAAATTGAGAGGCGTTCTATAATGTTCATTTCTTGGATTATGGATTCATTGGTTCGCCGGACAGTCCAGGGAATTCTGAGCATTCGTCGCCAACAGTACATCTCAGTTGCGTCAATTTTTTTCATTTCTGACTGTCTCATCGTCCAGGACTCGGAGCCATACATTAATATAGGAAATATTAGGCAGTGAACAAGCCTTTTTTTTAAGTGTTTAGATATGTTTTTGTCTCGCCATATCTTTGAGAGTTTTCGCACTGCCACTCTTGTCATTTCACATCTTCTCCTTATTTCGCCCTCTAACGATCCCGTGTTGTTTATAAGTGACTCAAGATATATATACTGACTTACAACCTCAAAACGACCAATGCTCACTACATCAGGTTTGTTATTGTTTTGCCTGTCGATAATCATAATTTTTGTTTTAGAGGGATTAATTTCAAGTCCAAGTTTCTCGGTTTCGTCTTCAACCAATTTTAGAAGCCGCAGTAACTCTTCTTCGTTTTCTGCTAGAAGGACCGTATCGTCTACAAATCTGAGGTTGGTAATTTTGTGACCATTAATTGTTGTCCCCCCTTGCCAATGTTCCAATGCCCGTCTCATGATATATTCAGTATATATATATATATATATATATTGAATAACTGAGGAGATAGTATGCACCCCTGCCTAACACCACAGGTAGGTTGGAAGTCTTCCGAAGTAACGCCATTGATGGTAATTCTGCTTTTGGTATTTACATAGAGATTCTGTATCAATGAAATCAAATGAAGAGGCACGCCCATTTCTTTAAGAACCATCCATAGTTTTGACCATTTGACTTTGTCAAAAGCTTTTCGATAGTCTATGAAAGAAATATAGAGCGGATTGTTAAATTCTCGGGCCTTTTCGATAATCTGACGGATATTCAAAATTTGTTTACGTGTTCCTCGACCTCTTGTGAATCCTGCTTGCTCTGGAGGGATTTGTGGTTGAATATACGGTTTTAACCTTTCGTTAATGATATGAAGAAGAATCTTACTGGCATGTGAAATTAGCGCAATGGTACGAAAGTTAAAAAAGACATAAATTAAAAAAAATAAATAAAGTTTTATCATCATTTTTTCGAAAAAAAAATTATGATTATTCACAAATTTATCATTTTAGTCAAATAACTATCTGCTCAACATGTTTATTTTTTGTCAATGATGACATGTATTCACTACTTCCGTTCTAAATATCTTGAAAACGGTTGTTTGTAGAAATTTTTATAAAGAAACATTTTTTACGTAAAAAATCACGGAAATGTATATTTTTTCACTCAGTAGTTGTATACAGGTATGGACGAAAAGTTATTACTCTTCAAAACAGTAACAACACATGTAGGTGACGCCCCCTACAAATAGGAGTCATACTGACATCAAAATCAAGTTTCTCATGTCAAAAAACTACCAGACACCAATTTTCATCGAAATATTGACGTTACCAAGACATTAACTTCAGAAATTAGTTGGAAAAAAACGAAATAAAAATAAAACTTCTACACCCTGTATAACACGAAACTACTAAGCAATTTAGGACATACATTTATACGAACTTTTTTACTTATTTTTATCTGCAGAATATGCTGTCGAAGTTTCCGGAATACAAAATAAAACTTCTACACCCTGTATAACACGAAACTACTAAGCAATTTAGGACATACATTTATACGAACTTTTTTACTTATTTTTATCTGCAGAATATGCTGTCGAAGTTTCCGGAATACAGTTCGGACCACCCTGTATTATCTTTTATTACACTACTTTGTCCCCTTTACGTTTGCTAGAAAATCGAATGCCAAGAAAATCTTAACAGGTTTATTTTATATTGTCATAAAACAACTGTTGGGTCGTTAAAAGAAGAAAGTTATTCAACTTTAACAATGAATTTTTCATAAATAACTTTTTGATACTTTATTGAAATTGTTAGAGAATAATACATATGAAAATGACGGAAGAAGGAACATATTTTTTTGATATAAGCTACTTCCATTTACATGTAAATGTTCGACATATGGTTTGCTGTATAATATATTATGAGCTATATTATATAAGCTTGTCTCGGTAGAGATTACAATCAAATTTTCGTAATAGCTGTAGATAATAATAGGAAAAATTCCAATGGGTTAACATTAAAATTACTAAATAATAAATTTAGTTGCAAAAATTTGACAAAAAGCGATGCAAAGTATGGATAACTTCCGCATTGATGGAGATCATAAAATTCATATTTGTACATGCTGGTAACTTATCTGCCCAATACCAGAGCCAATACTAAATAATGTCAAAATATATTTTTCATAGCCTACTTATAGGTCTCTGACCAAGTTACAATGAAAGTATTATAAAAATTGTTTAACTAACTTAATACCATAGCGGGCCTGATTTTTAAAGAAAATTTGAACTTAAATTGGATAATTAGTAATAAAAAAATGTATAGAAATGATTAGCGATGGGAACTATCGAATGAATTAGACTATCGAATGGTTAATGAATGAATGATTTCAACTATCGAATGGTTTTATTCGAATAAAATCATTCATTCATTTGTATACTAAAGCATATGTGACAACCTCGCCGTGCGACTAAATGGTTATCGTTGAGTCACGACTATCGAATGCTTTTGATAAATGAAATTTAGTATTCGTTTGATTTTTGTATGCGCCAGTGCATTATTAGTTCTTCCAAATTTTTATAACTTCGCCGTATAAATACTGTGCTATTTTTGCATTTATTAAAATAGTTAAAATACTAAAATAGTAGTTATTTTTTAATTTTATTTATTGACGATTGTGTGCATGTGCAGGTGGTCAAAATTTTTCCGAAAATTTGTGTTGTTTTCCGTAGTCCGATCTTTCAGTTATTTAATTTTATATGGTATATGGTCTATTTTTTAATGGGAAATTTTGAGAAGTAGCAATTTTTAAGAGGGATGAGATGAACTTACAATTAATTTTAAAAATACATATTTGCATTTTAGATGTTTTAATAATATGAATTAGTTGGAACTTAATAATCATATTTAAGTAATGTGGTTAAGTAAATGGGGGGTTATCGAACTCAAACTATGGGGTGAGAAAATTAAAATGAAAGTTTTACACGTGCCAATTTAAAAAAAAAGTAACGATGTTTGTATTTTGTTTATGCTAATTCTCTTACATGTAGTTTTTTGCGAAGAAATATTTCATTTATTTTTTAAAGTAAATGCCAGTAAAAGTAATATAATTAATTAATATAATTTTTAAATAGAGATATAAAGCACCTAATATAAATAATTTTGATTTCTAATTTTTTATTTATATTTTCGTTCCA